GTCGCCTCACCGCACAGGCTCCATAGGAAATGAATAGAGAGCGAGCGACGTCGCCTCCCATGTGTCGAGCCCTTAAGGGAATTCCCATTGTGTGACTGTCCAACCATGTAAAACTGTTATTGTTGAGTAATTGTTCCAACATACAATTTAGCTTTCAATAAACTGCCCACTTTTGAACCTTAACAAAAMGCTTTGTCTACGGAAGGAAAGTGAACACTGATAATGGTTGCTGACAGTAACATCTAAAAGGGATTTAGTTTTCTTGATCTTACAAAACATGAGGAGACATGAAGTGTTTCACTGATAAAAGGGAGCAGGTTTCTTACCTGGAGAGGCAGTAAAGGTGTTAACAACAGATTGGAAGCCCAGCATCTTACAGATCACTGTCCCATCTAAACGATCGAAATTGTCATCACAAATGGTGCCCCAGACATTTTGGTGCAGAACTTCCACTCGTCCTCGGTATTTTCCAGGCACAAGGCGCACAGTTACTGTTATAACACAAAGTTTCAGATAAGATTTTGTTTATTTTACTCAGGAAAAATGAACTAAAACAATACTCARATTATGGTAAAGAAGAAAAATAATGCTTTGTCAAAAAGTGACACTATGTTATGTTACACTTTAACTACTGGCAAAATTTGTAAGTTAGAATGYTACAAAGCCATCTAAAAGAAGTACACCTTACTTTAGATTTACTTAAAGTAAAAGTAAATGTGTTATGTTTACTCAATCCAGGTGATTGGAACCGAATGTTGCCAAGTGTTGGCTCAGTAGGTGTAGGAGTTCAGCTTCCAGTTGTTTAACAGGGAGTTTGATCCACTGAACACTGAACCCACTACTGCCACTGATGAGCTTTTTTTTTTGCATGTAAGTGAAATATAAAAGTGCTCTACATAGAGTGTAAAATATGTAATTTAAAACACAAGATGAATGTGGATGGGTGAGTGAGAGGACACATTTGAAGAAGCACTGAAGGCGCACAAAAAGTGTGGACCATTTAAACTTGACCAAACAATGCCTTTAACTTTGTGATTAAAATGCAGTGGTTTGACCTCACAATAAACAAGTTTAACTTTGTGGTTAAACTGYTTTAACGTCATTATTAATCTGGTTTAACGTTTTGGTTGTGTATTATCACTGTGGTCCAATGTGTGGTGCTTTGTAAACTTACACTGCTTTTCTGGTGTGCACTTTTCTCCTTTGGGACCTGTGGTGAAAAAATGTTCTGACTAAATTTTCAATCAAACTGGAGAGATATTATGCTACAGTCATTTAAACAGGATTTTGAGTTTGTAGGTTTTTGGGAAAGTTAAATATAGATTTTTTTGCAAGTTTTACTTCAATCCCCTTAGGTAAAAAATAAAAGATAATATAAATTTCAGGGCCCGTATTTATCAAACTCAAAGAGTGGACTTACGTGTAAAAAAATTCTTAAGCTGAGAGTAAAAGATAGTTATCAAGCGTCCCAGTCTTACTTTAAGCAAGTAATTCTTAAGTGTCAGTCTTAGACCTGATTTGCGATACCTGCTGTGCCGCAAAGCTGATCCTGGATGATGTTGTTAGAAAAAAACCAAAGCATGGACCAATCACTGCCTCGGATTTCATGTTCAAGAATATATTTGGAGAAAGGGCAAGATAAAACTGTGAAAATCCTAAGTTCCCTTTCAACACACTGTTGTCAACTTGTGCTGATTGTCTGTAATTCACATTAAATGTTCTCATTTGATCACGAGAACAGTTTTTTTAATAAAAAACTCAGCAGCTTTAAAGGTTTTTTTTCTCAGAGCCTAATGTTGAGCAGCTCCCTCCTCCTCCTCTTCGCCACTGACCGGCTTCAGACACGCACACAAACAACCCATTCCATCATTAACAGCTTGGTCTGAGAGGAGCCTCCCCCCCGGT